CGGGCGCGCCAGTTTATCTTTTTCACCCACCAGAGGAAGCCACATCAATCATAACTTCACAGTTAATGGTGATATTAGTTGCATTAAACCTCAGTTGATCAGCTAACATTAGCTGCTGTTGCAGTTGGAACAAACAGTTGCGGGTGATAAACCACTTTGTTAAGTCCGATTTTTTTTTTTTTTGTTAAACTTTCCCTAAAACTGCTTCTGAAAACAGAAGTTTGCCAGTTTCCAGGCGTTAAGTTGTTTCAGACGTTTTTGTCTCCTAAACAAGTTCCAAACTACCAATCATGAACATGTTCTTAAACATTTTACTTCTGTGTGAATTTGCTATCTTTATTTTACGTTCTTTATTTCCCCGGCAGTTTTCTCCCTCCGACCCACGCCCCCTTCACTCACACACTTCTCTGGGCAGTTTCCTTTTGTTTTAGTTTCACTTTGAAGGGACGCAGTTTTCTTCTCTCCTCTGAGCGTATGTGAGCAGTTTGTTTTTAACGTTTTTACTCATTAACACTGTCGTTACCTGAGTTACAGTAGAAACTTTAGCAGAAGTTTATTGTGCTGTTATTGTCAGAGAATCTCAGAAACTGTAACTTTGTAAAGTCTGGAGCGAAATTACTGCTATCAGCATAAAAATAATCTGTAGGTATTTTTAAATCATTTCAGAAAAATCGCATCAAAGCAGAAATGTAAAAAAAAAACAACATCATTTGATTGTAAACTTTTAATATTTTGGGTTTTTGATGTGTTGGTCTGACAAAAACAAGACATTTGAAGGGACTATTTCAGACTTGAGAAACTTTGAAATGGATGATTTTGAAATCTTTGAAATTCTGACATTGAAATGAATTCATCCCAGTTGTGCTGTGAATAACCAGCTGCAGCTTGTTTCGTCCAAGTCATATTTCACAGGGATGCTTGTAGACACAGAGACTGTGTCAGATAAACTTAGTGGATCTTCAGTCATTTCTGTGTGTCAGTGGGTGTTAATGCTTGTCCATGAATCCTGTGCGGTGCTGCTCTTTCACTTCACTGGAGCTCATGAACGCCATCTAGTGAGTATAGTAGAAGTACACCAGCTGATTTCAGCTTCCTCTATGTAAAAACAGAGAAGAAGAGCCACGTCCGTGGAAGGAGCCCAGCTGAATATTTTTACAGGAGAAATTATGTAAATTCAGTGGATGTGCAGATGAATAATGTGTGTTTCTCTCCACATGAAGGTAGAAAGTGTGTGCTGAGCTGATGTGGAGTGAAAACTCAGCAGCATGGATCAGTTGTGAGACAGAGAGGAGGGAGCCCCTCCTCTAAAACCATCTGTGTGGGAACATGAGAGCCAGGACCAGAGGCTCAGAGGTTGAGAATCAGGATCCTAACCGTCCGATGACTCTTCTTCCATGTCAGAGATTCTGGCAGTCAGATTCACTTCTACCATCGTTGTTTCACACTCAGAGCTCTGTGTGTGTTGTGTTGAAGGCGGAGCAGCAGCACAGACCAGATCTGCTGACCTGGACCTGATTCTGAACCTTGAATCCAGCTGTGTGTCCTTCAAGAGCTGGACAGTCAAATGAACGCTACATGTATTTTAAAGGAGGGACAACCCTCTGCTGCAAAGAAGCTAAGCTGTTACTAACAGTATAATGCTTGATAGCTGTTTGTTCAGAGAAGATTTATTAAATATGTGTTTCTCTCCACACACTCAGTTTTTGAACAGGGTTTTTGACTACATGAGTATAAAACGTTGGTACATCTTCAATTCTCTTTAAATCCACATTTCCCTCACTTGCATCTTTTTCACATTGACACTCTGGGAGTGCATGTAAAAATATGACTATTCAGTGCGTAAAAACACAACTGTATTGGAATGCAGGGACGAAAACAGCAAAAGGACACTGGTTTCTTAAATTAACCAGAGTACATTTTTTTCACTGTGTTATTGGATGCAGTGCATTATTAGATTAGATTATATCCTGTGTCTTCTCAGGAGGAAACTGCCGAAAAAACCTGAACCCACCTCTGTGGTCTGTGAGAGTGACTGGTCCAATGATTGCCTCATTAATTTCAAAGGACACATTCCTTGCTGCAGAGAGGTAAACTGTTTACAAACAGTTGTATGTAACTGATTAAAGTTTAAATTTTGTTTGCCAGAGTTTACTAAATGTGGTATGCTTCCTTGTCATTAATGTTCCATATCTGTTTTTAATAATGCTTCACTGGGGCTGCAAGGCCTAGGGTGCAGAAGTTAAAAAAACTACTGTAAAACACATATCAGGCCAGTTGATAGTTCTCCACGGTGTCTCATTCCAATATGGAAGAAATCCAATTGCCCACAACCGTGGCGCCTTTGTGTGGTGGGCAATTTCAGCTCTAAAGACTCTTTGCTAGCCCTCCAAGGGCTATACAGCTCCAGAGGAGGCACCGGAGGGCAAGTGTGCACAGGTTTGGTGGAATGCCAAGATGAAGCGTTGGCTCAGATCAAATAAGAGCCAGTGCTAAAGTTGTGAGCTGAGGCTAAGGGTAAACCTTTGAGAATGGGGAAACCACACTTGTAGGGCAGCTGCTGGACAGGATATTCCAACAGACCGAGCGATCAGCAGTGAATGCATTCTTAACTGATACTTTGTGACAGAGTTCCAGGTGGGATTTTTGGAACATTACTCGTGGCTCCTTTTCACTTGGAGAACATCTTGTCTAACGGTTTTTGATACTGAGACCTCGGGGTCCTCCTTAAGGTCTTCATGTTTTGACAGCTGGATGATTGATAGTTCAGAACCATCATCCAGAATGGCATATGT